ATTTGATGAGAACACTAAGCAGCTAATTGACGCCAGTAAAATTTATGTATTAATGGGAAATCTCTTTCGTGATTATAATTCTACCTTTCATAATCAAACTTTCGTCAAAGAGAATCAGGTTTGCAAGTGTATACATATGTATAAAAAAATGAAATGTAAACTGATTTATATAAAATATTATTGTTCGTAAATGTTTAGATATACCTTTTTGCAGGGAAAACATATTTACACTAAACGCAATTATCTGGGACATGATGGACATTACCTTTGGGATATTGCGATATTAGAACTCGTCAGACCGTTTGTATTGACAACATGGTTGGTTCCAGTATGTATAGATACTATAAGTGATAAAAATACAATGGAAGCAGGTTCTTACGGAAAGGTAGCAGGATTTGGTAGAACTGCACACGGTGAAACTAGTGCAATATTACAAGCTTTGAAAGTGCCTATAATTTCGTTCAGCCAATGCTTATCCGAAACCCAACGTGCTAATACGCGACAATATGTTAATGATAAGTTTTGTGCAGGCTACAAAAATGGTTAGTAAGAGATCAATTATGTGTAACATTAATTTGCACGATTTGCTGCATTCTATATTTGTCAAAAAGATATTTGTAAAAAATGTAAAATTATTTAGGCGTTACTAATTCGATATCTCTAAAACTATTTAAATTTGTAAGAATTATGTGAAAAAAAATACAAAAAAGAAAGAGAATATGTATAAGAATTATTATTATGTAGAATGTTGCGAAAAGTAAAATATAATGTAACTTACGAAAGCATTTTTTGTTTCAGGTTCTTCTGTTTGTGACGGCGACAGTGGCGGCGGATTAGTTTTTAAAACTAATGGTTTGTGGTATCTTCGAGGTATTGTTAGCGTTTCCGTCGGCACGATACAAGACGGTGGGACTGTTCGTTGCGACAACTATTTGTATTCTTTATATACAAATGTGTCTAAGCATATTTCATGGATCCAAGAAGTAATTTCAAAAGTAGAACAAAATCAAAGGCGGGCATTATGCTCAAATGAGTCTGAAACGGCATGTGCCTAAATTTACTAATGATATGGTAATGATACTAATGGTATCGATTATTATATGTGATAATCATTTTGTGTATTTATCATATAAATCAATACTATCGATAAATTATTTATTGTATAAAAGTGCATACATTAATTATAAAAAATTATTATGAATGAATTAATAATCTTTTTTACATTTATTTTTATGTATTCTTTTATGTTTCATACCATAACAGCAATGATAAAATACACAAAATGGGTTTTATATCTCGAATGTGTAATTAAGGTGTGCAAGAGTCTGTTATATAAAAATATATAAACACGTAGACAATTTTTTTTCAAGTATTACTGCAGGTGCATGGAATTCATTTGACAAAATTGTTACACGCTTGCATGGTCGATGTAATTAATACGGTGATAATGTGTCTATCGGGATTTAGTGGAAGGTCGGGGCAAACAAGTAGAGCACACCAAACTCGGAGTATAATGTTAAGACATGTATATTTAACTATACGGAGATACAATAGAAAAAATCTGCTTGCCAATAAGTCGGTTCGAGAAGTGCCGGAGCATCTGTTCCGTACTCGGCTCTCACATGTAGCAAAAGGGAAGAGGGAATGAATTCGCGAAATATAAAGTTAGCCCAGCACGTGGCGACATCATCTATACTCGTTAAACTCGTAATACATATTATACATACATATCAGGTGAATATCTCAAATATCTTACAAACGCAATCTATACTGCCTACATAAGTTCAGTTATTTGTTCGGTCGTTTATTCGATCGAAGTAGATATTCGATAAGAAACGAGATAAGTATTTTATTTATAAATGAATATCTTTATATATCTTTGGCTTTGAGAAATAATCTACAGACAGTCTTAACCCTGTCCAAAAAATACTAATTGTAAGAAGCTAAAGAAAATTTTTAAACCGAACTAATATATGTGCGCATAACATATATACGGTCGTAATTCTTTCGTTTTGTTTGAGGTTTAAGATAATTTGTTACTACATGTGAATCGAGTATGTATATACTTTTCCTGTATGCTATAACTGAGTCGACAAGGCACACAGGGGAGTA